CCCATCTTTATGGGGGGGGGGGGGGTTTAGTTGGAAGAGCAAGAGAGGACGGGTGTTGGGGGCAGATCATCTACCTTGCTGCTGGTTGTCCTCTTCTTCTCTTTCCCTCCATCTTTCCCAGCATTTTGGGCTTCTCAAAGAGCTGGGTCTTAGCATGGATGGATGGATGGATGGATGATGCACCACCAAATTGGTGTCGACCGTTAGCAATCAGACAGTTAGACTTTCTCCAGGATGATCTGCCCCCAACCTGGTCCTTCAGGTCTTCCAACAGTGCACCCATCAACACTGTAATTGAGTCTATCTACTGTGCTGCAAAGGATGGCTAATACTGCCATATTTTTCTTTGCAGGGTCATCACCTCCAAGTTCTCTTGGCCTCCTGGCCATGAACCTTAGCTTAGAATTTTCCACCTGGCAAATTCTAAGGGGAAAGTATCAGAAGTGGTCAGAGGTTCCCCAGGCAGGGTCAACATGTTTTGAAACATGGAACCACCTGTGTTCCACCTGGTTGTCAGGTCTGGTTTGAAGTCCTGCTTTATGCTCTTTCTTGTCCCACAGACAATCCCACTGGATATGATCTACTCAGTAGCAGCCTCTCATCTCTAAATCCCCATTCACTCATTTGGGGTTCCTGTTATCTAGTATTATATTCCTGGTCCTAAACTTATTTTATTGTTAGAGGTTTTGAGATTGGGAGTAGCTATGCTTCAAACTATTAGTGGACTAGACAATAGGAGAAGTCTCCTTCAAGTCAAACTTCATTCTTGGTGACTTCATGGACAGATCCGTGTTGTTTTCTGGACAGCCCACAGAAGTCGTTTGCCACTGTCTTTTTCCAGGAACTTTCTTCAACTTCCCAGCTTTGCCCTGTTCTTTCCTAGTGGTCTCCCATCCAAGTGCAATCCTACTTATCTTTTTGAAGTCAGCCAAGGTTGGCTGATGCTGCAACCTAGCTATGAGAAAAGATTGGAGAATCTTTCTTCCCCCAAAGAAATTTGAAAAAATCATCCACCCCATTTTTCATAGGGGCATAATCCCTTTTCATGCCCCGCTGTAGCAGATATGGGAACGCTGATAAAACTTGAACAAGGCTTACCAGTGAGAGAGGTCAGTTTGTGAACTGGGTGCTCAACTTTTTCTCTCTTCGCAGACTTTATCTTTCTCTCCCCCCCCCCCCCCCCCCCCCC